ACGGACTGTGTCGGCAGTCGTGGCCAGTCTACCTGCGGGGCGACCTGCTCGGATCTTCGGATGTCTCCCGACCAACAAGGGAGTGCTCCAGATCACGACTACGAGCCGATTATCTCCAAAGGTACACTTAGCTCTCCAGTGCCTCATCAGGAACTTCTTCCGCATTGAAAGCGTTGTTTCTGCTAGGTTAGCTGAGAGCAGTCATGACTTACCTCCGGTAACGTATGCTGACAGCTGTACGTTTATGCACTATGACAGCGACGTGACCCTGGGCTTCCATTGGTATGAAGCTGAAGGTATTGCCTTGCACATTCAAGACGTAACTGGATCTGCACAGTAGAGCCCGCTTCTTGATTGCTCGGGGCGCGACGGGCGTCATGGCCCCCGCCCCCCCCCCTCTCATGACGTAGCGCCCCCCCTGGTGCGCTCCTGGCACTGCCGCCGTGTGCATTGGGATCCGCGTAGGTGCCCGCGAAGGAATCCGCACTTGGAGTCTGGTCCGCAGTCGTGGTCGTCGTCGTCGTCGTGGCTCAGCGCTCGTCGTTCGTCGCTCGTCGCGCAGCGTCGTCGTGCGCGCGGTCGCGGTTGGAGCCTGTTTGTAATTCCGGGCCGATGACGGCAATTATCAGGGGGGGGGGTCGATGACGTCGCGTTTCGCGCCAGCGTCGTCTGGGAATGCTTAGGAATGACGGAGGCGTGTAGCAGCAGCATGTAGGTGGCGTTCTGCACCACAACGCCTCTGTACACCACAGTGCCTGCGTGCACCACAGCGCCTGTGTACACCGCGCCGCCTATGTGCACCACAGCAGCCGCGTGCAACCCAGCGTGAGTTTGCGGCGCCGTGCCAGCGGGCGCAGCAGCTTTTGTGTACACCACAGCGCCTGCGTGCACCGCATCAGCCGTCTGCAACGCAGCTCCTTCGTACACCGCGATGCCTGCGTGCATTGCAGTTCCCGCGTGCACCGCGGCGCCGGTGTGCACCGCAGCAGCCGTGCGCAACGCAGCTTCTCGTTTGCAAATTGAGTGTTGGAAGGAATCCTTTGTGCGTCCAGAAGGCTCCAGCCACGCTGGCCGTCCGAGAACCAAGTGGGCCGATTCAATGGACATTCGGCGGTGCACGCGGAGCTGCGCGCGCGCGCTGCAGCGCCAACCCGCGCGACAGGGGGCAAGGAGGAGGAGGGCGGGGAGGAGGAGGTGGAGGTGGAGAGGGAGGGGAGAGAAATAACGTCGCATTCGATTATCCGCATTTTCCTGGCGTGGCGTTTAGTTCTCTGCAGCAGATCCGCACGTGCATGCTCGTTCTACTTGTCCCATGCACTCAGGCATTGTGGTGTGCATCAGCGCAGCGCTGCATTGCACGCGGATGTTGTGGTGTAGGCAGGCGGTGTGGCGTGCACAGGCGCTGCGGTGCACGCAAGCATTGTGGTGTGCACAGGCGCAGTGTTTCACATGGGTGCTGCGTGGTTTATGTACGCCGGCGCTGTAGTGTGCGCAAACACTGCTGTGTGCGCAAGCGCTGGGTTGTTGCGGTGTACGCGAGCGCTGTGGTGTACGCGCGCTGCGCGGTGCACGCGATCGTCGTGGTGTGCACAGGCGCAGTGGGACAGATCGCCACCTACATGCTGCTCGCGTCGTTGTCGTCGTCGTCGTCGTCGTCGTCGTCGCTCGTCGCCCGTCGCTCGTCGCGTCGTGCGCGCAGGCGCGGCTGTGGTGCCGGAGCCGCGTGGCGGGGGGCGGCGTTGCGTCGTGCCCCCGCCCCGCCCCGCCCCCCCCCGACGCCCGTCATCGCCGAACATAAAGAAACGCGTTCCTAGAGTCATCCAGTGCCTGAAGTCCACCAATTTTTAAGCGGGCTTCGATCGGCGCATGACGAGGTTCGATGAGCTGGCAGACATGCCAACGCAAAGCAGCGATGCCAGGGAGGCCCCAGAAGTCGAACCACCACTGGAAGACGGACGGCTTCCCACAGTCTATGAGAAATCGGAGGCGGACGCGCGCATTATGGAAGTGTGGTGTACGGAGCAACAGGACGAAAGAGAGCTGATGGAGGCAACTCCAGTATAAAAGCTCAGCGCTGCATCCGCGCTTATGATTTCTGATAATAGTGTGTCGGTGGATAACCCAGAGGACATTCACGCAATTGAGACATGGCATGTCCATTTGGTTTCCACGGGCGAAGATGGCAGTTGCGGATTGGACTTCGACGATCACGGACAACATGTGGAGCTCTGCTTCGCGGCAGAAATGTCGAACATCGTCCTATCCGAACAACGACAATCTTTTAGACTTCGACCGTGCTACTGCGATGCGAGCGTGTGTGGCCGCTGCAGCCAAACGAGCCGCAGTCGTCAAGGGGGGCGACCTTCTCGCGAAGGTAGGCGTTCAGGCGAATCCAGTCCAGGCGTCGACAGCCTTATATACTGAACTCTAGACATGTTTTGACAAGGAATGTTTCAACATACGATACATATCCAAGGCGTCAAACTTTCATGACTTCGAAATGCGTGTGCAAATTGAGAGTCGTCAGCAACGAAAGGGGCGAGAGCGGACGCGCCATCATATTGCGCCTGGCAGTTCGGTGCTTCATTGACCTCGGCGGCTTCAGTGTAGAGGCGCTTCCATGAACGGCGCGGCGGTCAAGCCGGCGATTGCTCGCCAGCGCGGCAGCGTGCAGAAAACGCTGGATGATTGCTTCCTTTGACATCATCATGGCTGTCTTGAAGGCGCTAACGTATCAAGGGCTCGCTGAAACGACCGGTGGAAAAGGAACGTGTGCTGTGCTTTACGGTGCCACCTGGTTCGCCATCAGTACTCATATCATTCCCAGGATTCGAGCGGTATGACGAGTCAGGACCATTGTCAGGCGCCAAAGATGAACCAGGAGCCCTCTCGTTGAAGCTCAGCAAGACCACGAGAGGCTTTGGACTCATGCCCACGTCTTGCGACGAGGAGTTCGAGACAAGCCTCGACCTTCTCACTGCCGGACATGTTTGTGATGTAGACGTGACCGGCACCGAGGACACCATCGACAAGTGCGTCAAGTGTCTTGCCCATATTTTTGGGACATGTAGACTCGACGAACACGCGTATGCCAACTGTGCTGTGATATGTGCTAAGGGCAGCGACAGCAATGTTACTCTTGATCAAGACGGACATATACGAAACAACTCCGTCCTATCCAGCATCCCGAACTCACCGGCGCAGACGCTGAGGCTGAAGCATTGATCGCTGATATGCTTGTCAACCTTAGAGGCGCTCTGGCTTACGCCCTTATCACACAAGTGTGCTCAATTATATACACTGTATTGCTACAGCGTGTCCATAAACCCACCAACATGCAAGTGCGACGACCTAGCGCGATACCAGGAAGCTGCAGACCTGTCCCCAGATGATCGTCTATGCAGCGATGACACCAACGGGCGAGGTCGATCTGCATAGCGACTCCGGCTACCGTCGCCTGAACGGCGATGTTGATGACGAAGTCAGAGGCCATGACATTCGCGGGGCAAACCAGTTATGGCTTGGACACACACATGCTGGTAAGCCCGTTGCCCATCTCGTCGACGCGCGCTGCAAATGTCACCGCTTGCAAGTCCGCTCGGGCTACTGAGCTGAAACACTGGCAGCAGCCCGCAACTCCGGAAACTGTTATCCTACGGTTGTTACGCTACACGAACTCCACGCAGGGCCGCAGACGCCCACCCAACTGAAGGCTATACTTGAGATGGGCGGCCTGAGCATTAAGGTCACTTTGACCATTGAGACATAGTCCGTCTTCAAGTCCTTGGCAAGCAAAGACCTGCGGAAACCACCTGAATGTACACTTTTGGGTCGCATCAGTTGGATACGGCAAGTGATGCAGCGCGGTATCGTGCATTGCGTGCAGTGGTGTGACACTCGCGGTATGAGTGCGGATTGTCACACCAAAGGGAGCATTGACAGAGACATGCTCCTGAAAGTCATGGAAGGAGTACATTCCTTCAAGCACGACTTGAAGCGACACGCTCCCTACAGGTCGGGCCAGACGAGACCATCTGAACCGCCCGACGATTAGTGAGCTGCGGGGTACCCTGCCAAGGTTGAACCCGCCTGTTGCCGCTCTTCTTCTGTAGTAGTTTTGATTCGCGGAGTAAGGCCAGAGGCTGACTCGCGTTTCGTCCCCCCCCCGACCTTGAAGGAGGAAGGGCAAAGGCGAGAGGTAACGGGCGTTTGTCCACGGCCATTTTGGCCCAGTGACCGGCCACCTATCTGACCAGGCCGCACCGCGGCCCGCTACTTTACATCGAGACAGAAAAAGTTCCACCCTTTATTCTTGAGATTTACCATCGCCGCTCACGCGGCTCCTTTCTACTTTTGGCACTATCGCTAATATTATACAACAGGGTTGGACACATGCTTCGCCTTAGGCGAAGCATCTGGTTGGGCCGTTGACCTGCTTTAAATTCCTGGACTCTCTCAAATAGTCTTCAGGATTGAGGACTGAGGCTCCAGGGATTGGGCAAGGGGCCTGATGACACTCCAACTCGTGCCTCGGCACGGTGGTGGATGTACATGGGATTGGCGACGGGAGCGCGAATCGGTCGCACTGTGAGACTGTTTGTGGCCTCGGGAGCGCGAGCCCGTGCGGATTGTGGCCTCGGGAGCGTGGGTGCCTTGTAATTCAGGAGGGGTTGTGGACCCGGGAACCCGGGCCCGCCGTAAGTTGCGAAGGATTCTGGTTCCAGGAGCGCAAGCCCGAAGTACGAGGGGTTGTGGTTTCGAGAGCGCGAAGCAGTCGTATTTTCACGTGTCCCAGGGTATCCCAATGAACCATGAGAGCTCTGATCTGGGGTAGTAATGGGCCGCTTTTCGGGGTAGGGTTCTCACACGGACTGCAGCCATGACGACAAAACAAATATGACATTGGGGAATGGAATTGCTGCAGGGAGCAGCTTGGCCTAGTCTTCGCGAAGGGGCCGGCATATGTTTTGGTGGTTCTTTGGGCTGGGGTTTGTTATATGATTTTCTTTGACGTTCGACCTTCCTTGTCCTCCTCCGTGGGTACCCCGACATGTAGCGTTTCAGTCTGGGCAGGGTCAGCCTGGTGTCTCTCTGTAAGTGGGTCTAATCAAGGATTCTTGCTCGTCCGGCACACCTATGCGGCAATGGGGCAAGACAGGGTTTGCAACGTCCTTTCGAGAAACATGAATACAATCGGCCCCGTCGATATGTGGTGAGACTGGCGGGCTTGAGCTAAGGTGCTATGAAGTTCGTCGCCACACCTGGCTCTTCACCCTGGGGCGCTCAGGAGTTAGTCCGCCCGCATGGGAAAGTCCCGATACGGGTATGAGCGTCTTGGATCGGCTTGGCGACGAGCTAATATCAACCCGCGGTGGGAACCGCAAGCAAAATGCCCTTCGATGCTATTTATCCATCATCGCGACACATCGCCGACGTATCGGCGATGTCTTCGATCGATTGCCTCGTCAACGCATAGTCGGCATGGGTGATTCGTATGTGTCGGGGCATGTTGTATGGGATCAACAAACATATTGCGCATTTTACACTCTTGGCTTCCAGTCGAGCGTGATTGGCTGTTTGCATTCGCGCAGTAATGAGGCTCCACGAGGCAGGCAGCCACTGCACCCACATCGCGCGCTCATTCAGAGATCTAGGAGTGCTGCTTTCTACAGGTGCCATCAGGGGGACGAGGGCGAGGATGATGATGATGATGAGGAGGAGGAGGAGGAGGAGGAAAACGATTGATCCCTTACGTGTCGCGTACCCATCCAAGTCCGTTCATAAAATGACGCCAAATTTACTTGGACAAAGGCCCGCGACCCATGCGCTCCTCGGCGGCCCGGCCAATCCCAGTGACCCTTGGCATGGCGACTTGCGGAGATCCAGCGACAGCGATTTGGCGGCCTGACGACCCAGCGATCCGGTGTCCTGGCGACGGGGCCCCAGCGACCTGTGATTCCTAGCACGTCCCTCGCCCCTTCCGGCAGCTTCCCGTGTCGTACTATGCTCTTGCGGTTGCTTGCTTCTTACCGTGCTATTCATGATATTTTGGTTCGCAGGGCCTTTGGTCATTTGAGTTACTCGATCACCAGCGGTGACAGCAAAAACAGGTTCATCGATCATCTTCCATATCGCAGTGGTAGATTGGAGTGCTCAGTTTCCACGGCGCCGCCGTGGAGCATAGTGGAATCGTGGACCAGCGTCCTCCTGCTGCTGCTGCAGTTGACCTGCGTCAGTGACGCCAAGCCCTAGTACCTGCCCTACTCCGCCAACGTCAGTGACGCCAGCAATCCTTACTACTTGCCTTGTTCTGCTAGCGTCAGCGACGCCATCAAACCCTAGCACCTGACCTACCACGCCAGCGCCAGCGACGCCAACAAACCCTACTACCTGCCCTATTCTGCTAGCGTCTGCGACGACAGCAGACCCTACTACCTAACATGCTCCGCCAGTGTCAGCGACGCCAACGAACCTTATTACCTGCCCCACCAGTGCAGCGTCAGAGACGCAGCCAAGCTATTTCCCCCCCCATTTTTGGAACTTTATCGAGGCCGTCAAGGTCAATTTCCCAATCTCCCAGAACGTCAGTGACGCCAGAAAACCATCTCCTTCAATAAGTTCTTCTATTTCAAGATGACGTACACTTGTTGCACGCCGCAATCTCTCATGCCATGCTGGAACTGGTCCAGCGAAATTGTCGGATTATAAGCCAGGAATCAAGTTCGGAGAGCTCAGCGGGAGCCTGGAGGGAGGTAATCAATGCCTGGCATTAAAGCTGGTGCTCAGGCTCTCGGTATCGGCGCGTGGATGCGCCATCATCATGGATCCCGAGAAGCCTCGTCCTCAGCCAAATGACAAGCTGGAGGAAGTAAACGACAAGAAGAGAGACAGGAACGCGAAGAGCATCGCCAACGTCCTGCGCCACCTGGAGGAGAGCATGGGTTAGCAGGAACCCGCGCAGAAGGGGGGGGGCGCTCGAGGAGTTATTCAGGTCGACAGCTCGCCGCCGACGCCGTGGCGAGCGCATGATAGACTGGCCAGTCTGGTTCGACGTGGGCCTGCAATTGCCACGCGAAAATAGAGTCGACCTCAGCGAGTTCGACGACGTTGCGGGATGGTTCTTGCCGCTCAAGGCTGGCCTGAATGCCGGTCGACGAGAGCGAGTCGTCGGCAACCTGCCGCGCGAGCACTGCGGGTTCCAACGCCTTGGTGCCCGTGTTCCTGGACATCCGCGTCCAGGAGAGGTCGCAGCTGTCGCCGCGTCGACCCTGGAGCAGTCAACCGCGATCCTCGCGGCAGCGCCCGAGCGGACCAGGCCGAGCCCGCTCGGCCAACGTGGTGGGCGAACCAGGCGAAGAGGACGTCGACCAGGAAGAGGACAGGGCGAGATCCCAGATGGCGACGTCCAGGACGTGGGGCGACGCGGGCTCGAGGCATTCAGCGCCGAGCTCGAAGCCTCCGGCGTGGACGTGTCGGAGGCGTTCGACAGCGGCGACTCCGCCGAGGTTGAAACCGCCGCGGCAGAACTTGCAGCTGTTCCGGAAGCCATGGCCACCATCAGATCGGCGCGCGATGCCATCGAGGGCCGCGGCTAGACCGGAGCTCCGAAACGAAAGGCAGCGAGCGAGACCATGAACTCCCGCATCGACCAGCGGAAGAGGAATACACGTGCTGGGACTGCGGCGAGTCCTGGCCATTGGAGAGGTGATTCGGAGTGCCCGACTGTTGAAGTCCACTAACACGACCCCCCAAGTTTCGTTCAGTGCGTCGCCCGCGCGTCGCCCGTGCGCCGGCCCTGGTTTGCGCCTCTGTCCCGGATTTCGGCCTGCCAGAGTGCGCGGGCGACGCGCGGCGCGACTTCGGAATGTCGCTGGCGACGCATCGGTTTCCGAGGCCGGCGCAACAGCAGCCGGTTTGGCGGTCGTGTCGCTCGCTTAGTTCGACGGTCCGCTGACGCGGTATGTTTTCCATTCGGCACAGAAGGGTTCGCTGGTGCGTCTTTTCGGGGGGCGCCGACCGTGACTGCGGACGAATGCGTCCGCGTTGCTGGGGGGCCGCGCGCGTCGCGCCGTGGTGGGGGTGGCGTCGCGTCGCGCGGCGCGGCGCCACTTCGCCCCGCCGCGTCGCGCCCCGCGCCCCCATGTCGTTTCGCGCCAGTCTTCTTGCCCCTCCCCTCCCCCCCTCCCTTCCCCGTTGCGTGCTGTCGTCGTGTTCCTGCATTGTGTGCGAGAGCAACGGGAAATTTAACAATTGTGCGGTAATTCTGGCGGCGTCGCACTTTTATCGCATCGTCGAGTTGTTGCGTGATCGCGAGGCGCGCCGCGGCTGCAGCTCGAGGAAGTAGCATCGCCCATCGAAATGTTTCGGGTTAGTGATTTGGTCGCGCCTGTTCCTGATCTCAATCCCCGCCATTCACTTCGCGCTGCGTGCGTGCATTTGTCTCGGCATTCCTATATTTCTCTGTGTGCTGTACTTGCCCAGCGCTCATCATGGATTCGCAAAATCCGTTTGCCCCGCGCCCTCCGGCATGCCGGGGTGGTTTCGGTCGCGGCGTGCCGGTGCCAACTTCTCCGTTTCATCCAATGTCAGCGCCGACAGCACCGCCGGCCCTTAGGCCAGGAGCGATGCGTATTTTCGAGGGCCAGGTCGTAGACCTGAGATGTCTGTGAGGATGGTCACGGCTGGTACTTGCCCCGTCACGAAGATGATCCTTTGAAATCGGAGGTCGCGGCTGTTGCTATCAACAATGTTGGCATGGAAGGTCTCATGAAGAATGGGGAAGTCGTGCCCGTCTTCGCGAAACCGAACGGGGATTGGAACAAGACCCGTGACAGGGCAGATGAGATCTCTCGGCTTATCCCCATGGCAGCATCAGATGAGGACTGGGGCGACTTCATCACTGGCGTCGAGGCAGTCCACCAGAAGCTCAGCATCCCGATGGGCGAGTCTGTGGCCTCGTTCCTGGACCGTGAGCACGCGGGAGAGTCAGCTCGGCGTGATCGCCGCCATGCATCGTCATCTTTAGCTCCCTGTGCGCAGCCGGCTGTGCGCAGGAACTTGTTCGAGACAGACTTCGGTGCCAATCTTGCCTGGGGGGCTGAGCCGGTGCGACAGTCGCTTCCCAGGGACTTGATCGGTCTTGAGGTCCGTGACAATGACCTTGATCGTAAAGGCAAGATTGTCGGTCTCACCGTGAACCCGGATGCAGTCTTGTCAGTTCACTGGGGCGACGGGTTCGAAGCCGAACTCTCTTGCGAGGAGTTTCGCCGGCTCCACTCTCCGGGAGCATCTGTGCACTTCGACATCGGCACGCCCAGCCCTCGTGCCAGGAAGGGCTGTCGCCGGAACAAGGGCGATCATGTTGCTGCTTCGACTGAGTGGGATAGGATTAGCGCTCCCGCACGGACTGATCATCGCAGGGACGGCTGTTCCGAGCTGCTTGGCAATGTTGGCAGTTCAGAGCTTCCAACAGTGCATTCATAGTGCCGCACTTCGCGCTTCTAGGCCTGCACGCGAACAGTTGTGCATGTCTCTCCTCCTCCTCCCTGCCTTGCTGCTGCCGCCGTTTCTCCGCCCGGAAGTGGTCGCGTGAATGCCGCGACGAAGACTGCGATGGCGTGGCGGGTTATTTCGCGGTAGTCACTGCCCATCCCTGCTTCGACAGGCCTGCTATTGTTGCTGCTGTTCGTGCCGTGCGTTTGCTCGCGTGCAATGTTGAGGCTGGCGAGAAACATCCTCGTGTGAAGCGCAGGGCTGTCCAACGTGTCATGTGAATTTCTTCCTCCCTCCTCCACGTTTTGTTAGAGAGCCGTTGCTGTAAGCGTGGCGTCAAGTCTCAGGATGAAACGCGGCTGTCTTCTGCTGTTCACGTTTTGAACCACATCCGGGCTATCGTTGCTGTGAGGTGGATGGGCGTCTCGAAGTTTCGATCGCATCAGAAGATGTTGAACATGCCTCATGTTGCGTGCGCGTCCGTTCAGGGTGATCGCGTTGTTCGTCATTATTCGCGTAGTGTTATTTACGTGTGGTTCTCTATGTGTCACCATTTCATGTGCGCGGGGAAATCTAACAGGTCCTTTGTTGAGCGCACTAATGAGCACCATTGCGCTATGTTCTCGTGCCGGACGGATTCCCAAATCCCCGCACACTACAAAATGCGGTCTCTGGGTGTCGGCTCCTTCATCCAGATGCCTCTTGTGTATTTGTCCTCCAGTTCGGACGTGGAGTGGCGGTTCGTTGACTAGTAGTTTGCGAGCGCATTGCATGCCCGGCTGAACGCTCCGTTTGTTCACGAGTATGCGAAACAGGGCTGTCGTCAGCAGTGCCATACTTCTGTTGCCATCTGGGGGGGGGGGGTCTAAGACCAGTAGTAAGTTTTCTCATGATCGGCGCCCCGTTCTTTCTTATTCGCATCTCCTTTTTGCACTGCCGATGATGCCCTTGCTGTGCATGGCGCTTCCGCGGCTATTTTGCTTCAGTCTAAGCTGTCCGTCTTAGCGTGTCGTCTGAGGGGGCTGAGGCGCAAGGGTAATAATTGCATGATTTTTCTGATGTCGTTCATCGATCGACGGCCGGGGCTTGTAAACATGCTCGTTGAGCGCGTCGAGAAGAAGCTTGTCGGTTCCAAGTTGTTTGAGGCCGCCGACGGATTTTTTTTCAGGTCTTGGGGCGCGAAACGCATGCATCAAAGCAATTTTGTTGTCAAATTGCTTCATCTTCCTGGGCGTCGCGTGCGCGATGTCGCCATGAGGTTGTTCCGTGACGCGCGTGCACCGTGTGTCCCTCGTGGCCATGCTTTTGCGAATCGCGTTCGTCTTCTTTCCTCGCCTTCCCCAAAAGACATTCTTGTTAACTCCAAGTGGTGGGGTGAACGGTTGCAGTCCCATGATTTCCCGTGCGCAAGCAGTGAATTGGGCTTATCGCTCGGCGTTCCTTTGCCGGCGGACTGCCACGTGTGCGCGAGGGCTGATAATTGCATTCTTAAGGGGGGCGTCCCTCGTCATTTCCACTATGGCGGCCCGTGTGTGTGTGGTCAAGGGGGCATATGATGGAGTACGTTGATGAAAGCATGGGGGCTCTTGCACGTCGCCTTGTGAAGGCTGGTGTTCACGCGATATGGAACGCTTCTGATGCCCGCGCTTACCTTCGTGAGTTGCACAGTAATGCTTATGATTTTCGCTGGCGGGGGGTTCTTGAGCATGAAGCTGGGGCCTGGCAGAAACAGCTGTTTTCGCGTGTCGTTATCGCGCCAATGGACAAATGATCTTCCTCCGTTGCTCTGTCGCGTCCTCGAGGGTGGCGGCTCCGGGCCAGAGCTTGCGCGTTCAGTGGCAATCGTCTTGTGCGGTCTTTCATGGGTTGGGACGCTATGCGTCGTCGATTCGGGGAAGCCCAGGAGCGCTTGAGATGCACTGGTGCCGTCTGCGCGTCTTCTGAAAGACATTTGTTTGGCATTATTGACGCGTGTCCTCAACGTTCCGATCTTTCTCGTGAGAGTCGCCAGATTGGTTCGCAGTGGCCTCATTGCTTGAAGCCTTTGTTTTCTTTGTTGTGCCGCGTTCTTAATTTCATGGTCCGGTTTGTCTACCCCGACTCTATCAGCGTCTTGTCGAACCAGAAAGTCATCGATACTTGTCATACTTTCAACCTCGATGTTGCCGATCATAAGAGGAAGGGGTTCGTTCCAGTGTTCATGCTTCTCAAGCGCGACATTGGCGGTGTCTTCAATGGCGTCCCTTGGGCTTCAATACATTGCGCTCTTGACTGGTTGATGAGTGGGTGGAAGGATGTTGCCGGCGCTCGGGGGATGCGCGTCCAGGTTCCCCGATATCGCTGTAAACAGACCCCGCAAGGTGGCGTTCCACTGTGCTTCCCGCGATCGTTTCAAGGCCATTGGCGAAACCGTGCAATGCGTGGCGTTGACGAGGCTCGGACGCGCAATTCCCGTAGTTTGGCAGCAGATAAGTATATCTTCCATGTTTCCGACATTCCTTGGCGTGTCATTTTTGATTTTGCTTGCGGCTTCCCCCACCTTGGTAACGTGCTTGTGGCTTCTCCTAAAGGCGTGACCCAGGGGTGCCCTCGCGCCCCTTGCGTGTGCAATGTTGCATGCTGTTGCCTCGAGCACGACAGCGCTCGGCCCCCGAAAGGCATAGATGTGCACTTTGTGTACCGCGTTTCTTCTTTGATCTTCCGTTGGATTGATGATGTTTACGGCGTTCATTGTTTTTGGGCCCTTCCCCAAAATGCTTTTGATTATGCGTCTGGCTTTCCTCCGAAGAGACGCTGGATCTGCGAGTCTTCTGGTCGCGGGTCTGTGTCAGTGGAAGTCGACGCTTTCTCGCGGCGTTTCGTTCGCCGCGTGGGTATCTTGTGCGCCGGTGTTGTGTTGGCCCGTGCTCGGAGGAAGCAGCGCGTGAAATCCCTCTCGTTGAAAGTCCAGGGTGCCTCTGATTTCGTAGGTTTGGACGTGCGCGTGTCAGGTGAGAGCGCGCTCCTCGCCCCCCGCACGTGCAGCAGCGATCTGCTTCGTCAGTCGTGCGTTTCCTTGGCCTGGCCTCGGGTCCAAGCGTTTCGTGGCAACGTGCCTGTCTCGATTCTGATAGGGGTTATTGAAGGCCATCTCGTGCAGGCGATTGATCGGCGTCTCGATGCTGACCCGTTTCCTCTTCTTGCCAATGTCCTCATTGAATTGCGTTGTCTAGAGTTCCCCTGGCCTGTCCTTGACCGGGCAGTGAAACGCGTCTGCCGGAAGCGTCCTTTCTTGTCTTCTTTCTCCTGTCTCCCTCTCTTCCTTTCTTGTCTTCCTTCTCTTCCTCCCTCTGGTCCTCCCTCTTTCGCTGTCTTTCCTTCTCGCTTGTGTCGTCTCGTCGTTGCGTGTCTGTGTCGTGTGGCGTGCGTGTGTGTGTGCGTGTGTGTGTGTGTGTGTGTGTGTGTGTGCGTGCGTGCGTGCGTGCGTGCGTGCGTGTGTGCGTGTTCTCTTGTGCCTCGTCGTGCTCTGTCGGCCATTGGGGGCCGAAGATGGCGGCGTTCTTCTGGATATTGAGGGTTTCACGCTCGCGTTCGCTTGTGCGCGTGCGTCTGTGCGCGTGCGTCTGCGCGCTCCCGCTTGCATGTGCGCGCGTGAACTGGCGCGGACCGGCAGTCCGAGTTTCCAGGTTCATAGCCTACTGGTGATGGGGGGAGTTTGTTGTCTGTATGTGTGCGCGAACTGGCGCAGACCAGCAGTCCGAGCGTCCAGGTTCATAGTCTATTGGTGCTGGAGGGAATTTGCATTGTACTTGCTTGTATGCGTGCGTGAACTGGCACGGACCTGCAGTCCGAGTGTCCAGGTTCACTGTCTACTGGTGATGGAGGGAGTTTGTCGCGTTGTATTTGCATCCATTGGTTTTTTTGACTCACTGACAAATCTTCTCCTGGCGATGCGAGGAGTTGACTTTTTCTCGTCTGTCTTGCCTCCCCCTCTTCCTCCCCGTTGCCTCTTTTTGTTGCCTCCACGTTGTTGTATGTCGTGTTTGTGTGACCACAACCGCTCCGACGGATGAGTGGCGGGGGCTCGTGCTTCTAATGTGCTCCTGGTCTGCCATGATAGTCCGCGGCGTGCTGTCGTCATGTTCCTGCATTGTGTCTGCGAGCGACAGTAAATTGAGCAATCGTACAGTAAGTCTGGCGGCGTCGCATTATTGTCGCATCGTCAAGTTGTCGCGTGATCGCGAGGCACTCCGCGGCTGCAGCTCAAGGAAGTAACATCATTCATCGAGCCCCCCCCCCATCGTCGAGCGCGCTGCGCGTCTTGTCCCGTTGGCGAAATTATAGGTAGTGTTTTGGTGTCAGGCTGCCGTCCTGCCCCCCTCCCATACTCGCCCCCCGTTGTCCTTCCGCCTTCCTGAAACGTCCTTCTCGCCATCCTCGCTCCCGCCGCCCTCCTTCGATTGCCTCCCGTCGCTCCCGCCGCCGCTGCGCCGTCCCCGCGCGCCCCCTCCTCGCCCGTCCGTGCCCTATTCCGCCCGTCCTTCCCCCGCCTCGCTTCCCTCCTCTTTCTCCCCCCAGTGCGTCGGCGGGCGAGACGTCGCCGCGTTGCTGCAGTGACAAGTCGATGTTCGAATTCGGACGGGGCGCGCGCTTGGAATTGATTCCTCCGCGCGCGCTGCGTCTCCGCGTCGTCTACTGTTCTTTTCGTGCTCGTAGTTCTCGCGTGCGCGTCTCGCTCTTGTCGCGATTGTCGCGCGCGTTCCCGGATTGTTTCGCCGGCGGGCCGCGCAGTTCGCGCGCCGCCAGAAGTCCGCGGCGCCCTTTCGAGCGATTCGCGCGCGACCTGCGCGCGGCGGGCAAGCGGCCCGAGCGACGCGCGCGCGACGCGC